TGGCCCACAGCCGGGCAAGTGGTCCCCAGCCTCTCTGGTAGCGTACAAAACATCTCCATTTTGATGAAATGACTGTTTGCAACACAAGCAGTAGGGGGTCGATGGCACTCATTTTTTCCTTCTTCTTTTTGAAGCGGCGACGGACGATGGACGGCCTTGAGATATCACATCTTCCAACTGAGCGGCCCCAGTTAGATTCAGACGTATTTTTCACTCGTCGGATTCCATTGGAATCCGAACTCAAGTCTGTGCTCCAACAGTCTATGTAGGTGTACCAACTGCGCTGAGGCAGCCGGTCGGGGTTGAAGGCATTGTGGGCAGGATAAGTGAGAAAACTTTTACCCGTTGAATAAGATGTCATTCGCCAGGTACACAATGTGCAGCTGCCGCTCGGGATCCTCCAGCTGCCTGATACGGTCCCTCATCGCTTCGGCCAATTGCTCAGCATAACCGATCCTCGACATGAACCAAGTCTTCGCGCTCTTGATGGATTCCTTGGTGCCAGTCAAGTCATCCAGGATAACGAAAAGCTCCGTCGCCAGTTCGTTAGGTAGACCACCACCTCGGGGAGGTCCAAGACTACCACCTCCCCCCCCTCCACCTACCCCTGCGCCTGCACCCTGATTCTCCATGTGGTAGCCTGCAGTACCTCCCTGCACCTGACCGGCTGCCTCCAGATGGTAATGATGACCTTGCATGTGTTGATGATGGGGTCCACCTGGCACTTCTCCTCCTCCATATCCTGGGTGGGCCCCATGAACCTGCTGGCCATACCCATGATCTCCAGCCTGCTGCTGGTGCTGTTCTGCTAGTTGCTTCTGCTGCTGCTGATCCATTCGTCGATAATTGGAATCGTACGGATGTGGTTGCATGTGCGGATGCATGTGGTGGGGATGAGGCTGATGATGCGGCGCCGCATTCGGATGCATCCCCATCGACTGATTATAAAAGTCCGGCTGCTGTTGCGCATGGTTGTGAAACCCGCCAGGTCCGCCCGGCATATGGCCTCCATGTACTTGACCATAGGCGGCAGCCATGTGGGGATCGTCGCCTCCAGCGCCACCACCCACACCAGGCACACCAGGTTGCATGTGCTGACTCAGCAGCACCCATAACCGGAACCTGTAGAATTCATGACCCTCCCCGCCGAACAAAAACCCATACGCCGGGTTGTCCTTCTGCTTCTCCTTCATCAAAGCTTCAAACTGCGGTCCGTTCTTGGCCGCGTACTCGACAAGCTTCGCGATGCGGTTTTGCAGTTCGACATCCTGCGGTGCAGCCACTGAAGGCGGCGGCGGCTCCCACGGCGCGAAGAACGCCTGCAATGGAGGAACACCTCCACCCCCTCCTCCGTGCGCTCCCATCTGTTGCATCTGCTGAGAGTACCCCGGATGCCCATATGGACCCCCGCCCCCCTGATGATGGCCATGGTAGCCGTACGGGACATGGCCTGGGTGGCCACCATAGGGCGCAGCGCCTCCAACCCCAAGATGGGGATGGTAACCTTCTCCACTCATATGATGTGGCTGTTGAGGATGATCCATCATGATTTTTTTTAATTTTTTTTTTCCCCTTCCTGGCCTTCCAATTATTAACCAAAATAACCAAGTTCACTGTGGGCAGAACAGAACAAATCTGGTGCGCATAGAAGCCGCAAACAATCTAGTGTGGTTCCCTCCCCCTCCCACCCCCCTCCCAATCACCACCACCACCCCTCACAAGTGCACCAAATGCAACTGCTCAGAAAAAGGGCTCCAGTTTGACTAGGTGGACCAACCAACCATACCCCCAAATCCCCATCAACTTACTCCTCGATGCTTCATCGCAAACGGAAAGATTGTTTCTGCTTCCAGTGTTCCACACAAGTTGGCCACATACACATAACAGATGGCATAAATGACACAATTTCACGTGACAAAATGATGGTCATAATGATTGCATGTATTGCAGAGCCTGTGCAGCAGGGAGGGACAAAAAAAAAAAAAACGAGGCCGGCGTAAATCTCTAGTCTTTACAGAGGACGCTTTTCCGGACCCAGAGCACTGTCCCAGAAACCAAATTGGTGTTCCGGGAACCACATCGGTATATTCCAGGAGCAGATTGCGAGTGCCCAAAGGAGAGCGGTTGGTCTTCCGATGATCACGCACGATGAATGGCCCAGTTGCACCTTCCCCTGCAAGAAAACAGGTTGAGGACAAATCACTGAAATGAAATCAGTAAAAAGCTTTTTGAAATGCAATGGATACCCTAAACCCTAAACCCTAAAATAACATTGGTTTTCAGCGCGTCACTCTTTAGACTTCAGTTTTGCTTCAGTACTACCAGTAGACAGACTTCAGTTTTGCTTCAGTACTACCAGTAGACACCCCAGCCAGATATCAAGCCACCATATCTGGTGCAGCACACCCTTTTTTTGTCCGGATCATCTGGCTGGGTGGGTATCCAGCTGGACAATCCAGATGGACATTTCACACTATCCAGTCCGCATTCGGGTTTTCCGGCCGGATGCGCCCGTCACAAAGGAAGGATAATAGGATATCCAAAAAGGCAGACAGAAAGTTCGCAGCTCGTCAGGGGTGCGTTTTATAACCCTGAGTCAATTTCATCGTCCTTCATTCTACCGGTCGTCCGTTCGCGCCCAAAAGGTAGTTGCAACGGTGGTGGATTTGCGGGGGGGGGGAGCAATTCATCGGGAACGGGCAGTTGTTGCTTGCGGAGGACCTGTGGATGCCCCTAGCAGGCCAAGGAGGCCGCGGTCCTTGAGTTTAAACCACCAGTACCTTTCTGTTATGAACTTGGTTGTCTGTCGATTTTCATCAACACTCACACGCAGACAATCTCACGCACGCCCATACATGCATAAGAAGAAGGGGAGAGGAGACAGAGTACACACTGCACACAGACAGAGTAAGCAGCGGGAAAACACTATGCACAGCTGTGGAGATAACACGAAGTGTTTCTCACTCTCTGACAATACTCCCGACAACCAATCACAAGTAGACACCTGCAAGGATAACAAAGGAACAATCTGAGATTGAGCCGATCTGAACCAATATCGTTACAGAGTTTGTCTCAGTGTCTCGCCACTCACAAAATCACACACTCCACTCCCTAGACTACACCCAGTTAGTAACGCCACACAACCACAGCCTCCCAGAGGCCTCCTCTAACCACCCAGATGAAGAACAGGAACTGCGATGTAACCCTCCGTGCCAATGAGCAACTCTGACGAAGAAAGCTGCAGCTATGGCTGCAACGCCACTGTAGATGCCACGCACAATCCCAGAGGGAGATGCAGCAACAGTGGTCCACCCACGAATACCATGTAGAGCCTCAAAATAGCCCAGCCGATCGCAAGCACCCCCAGGGGTGGATGCTCAGAGGACGCCCCAGTTATGGCGAGCTCCAGAAGGCTGGCTATGGCTACCGTCCACGACGTAGGTCTCAGGATGCCGCCTGTAGGCAATCGTCTCTACTGTACTTCCTTGGCTCAGAACGCTGTCACCCAAAAAATGAAAACAGCCAAAAGTCCTAACCCTACATTGTAGCGACCTAGATCTATTAATAGACTAACCTAGACCTAGACACGGACTGGACCGACCGGTACCGTTTCAGTTTGGGCCTTTAGGGCCTCTACCTACCTGGATATAGGCTCTCATGCTACGGGCCTAGGCCCTAGGGCCTCCCGTCCTAATGATAGCCCGGGCCTCCTATTCGCAGTGCGGTCTAAGGGAACTGCGGGCCTGTAATTTTTCCGAAATTGCAGATATGTCCCTCACGAATTTCCATCAGCACTGAACTCTCGGTTAGTCCCTGACACAAACAAAATTACGAATCTAACCCTACCATTGTTACTGTATAGCCTCGCAGTCAGATCTCGGCAGTCAAAATCAGCAAGTCATTGCAGGCTTACCCCCTCGGGGGAGCGAGGACCTCCGAGCTAGGGGTGTAAACGAGGAGACCGACGAGGAAGTGAACCCTTATGAGCCGCTTCGTAACGTAGAACTACAGACTTCACTGTCTTGAGAAGTTCTTTCCTGGTGAACCACCTATCCTCGGTATGAGGCTGGAAACAAAACTTCACAAGATACTGTCGGTCGGGGCCAGTGCCCCGCTCGTCCTCAATGGACTCCACGTCATATCCCTTGCCAGGGATCGGTGGACCTAATTAAGGGGGTCGGTCTGGGAATGCATCAGCTGGGATGAAAGGAAGCAGCCTAGATGCATGCAAGACCAGATAGGTTTGTAGATGCAATGGGACGTCGATAACGTACGACAGGCCAAAAGGATCGTGGCCCACTGTATCTAACACCTGCCACGGACCCAAGTATCCTGGCAACAACTTGGGAGAGATATCCTCTTCCCTCGACAACTCTGAACTGGCTACCTAGATGTAATTGCCAGTACGAATGGGGGAAGGACGTCGGTGGCGATTAGCTTGTTCAATCATGCCCTTTTGAGCCTTGAACAAGTTCGCCAGTGCCCTTTCCACATCGACTCTGTAGCGTCTGGTAAACTCCGCAGTGCCAGGAGTCAGATCAGACTTCGCCTTATTGATGATGTCATCAAGAGGTTGTCGTGGCTCACGTCCCCAATGTAAACGATATGGACTGAACCTAGTTGAAGAGTGGATAGAGGTATTCTGAACAAGCTGTGCACGAGCCAGGTGGAGATCCCCGTCCTGTTGATCTGGAGAGACGACATGACGCAGCAAGTGGAACGAGACTTGGTTCATCACTTCAGCCTGACCATTGGCTTCAGGATGACGACGAGAAGTCATGTCTAATCGTGAGTGTAGGTAGTCCTTGCAGTAGGACTGTCACTCGTTGCTGCAGAATCGTGGATCTTTATCACTGAGTATAGAAGTGGGCGGTCCATGGTGAGTGACCCACCTCTCTGAAAACGCTTCTCTCACAGCGGGGACCCTAGCTACTTTTGGCAAGGGGATGAGCTTTGTGTACTTAGAGAACCTGTCAACACAGACCATTACCTGACGCATGCCACGAGGGGTGGTCTTGCCTACATCTGTAAAATCTATAGATACAGATTCAGCAGGACCATCAGGTATGCGCAAGGGTTTGAGAAGTCCCAGAGGAGGTCTACGCTGGACCTTATTTCTCTGGCAGAGCTCACAGGTTTCAATATAGTGCAGCAGATCACTTCGCATCTCCTTCCAGAAGAAGCGTTGCGACAGGGCTGCATATGACTTTAGGAACCCAAAATGACCGCGAGCATCATGGCACTCTGACATCAGCAGAGTTCTCAGCCGCTGGTCCTGGGGAATGCACAAGCGTTCCTCACCTTTGCTGTAAGTATATAGCAAGCCTGAACTCAGGGCGTAGCCGGGTTCAGAGTTGGGGTCTGCTTGCAGATTCCTGACTATGGGTCCGTAAGTCGGGTCCTGAGGCAGTAAACGGGCAATGGTCTGACGGGTCTCCTCTCCAAAGGAGTGAGTAGAGGAGATCAACGTAAAAGCGTCAAGCCTACGAGAGAGGGTGTCTACTACTTTATTGTAGCAGCCCTTCTTGTGTTTCAGTTCAAAGTGAAACAGATCAATGAACCGAATGTAGCGTGCTAATTTATCGTTTAACTCTCCCTGGGACTTCATCCACTATAAAGTGGAATGATCTGAAAAGATCTTGAAGTGTTTGCCCAGGAGAAAGTGCTTTCAGTGCTTTAGCGCGCATACCAGAGCATATAGCTCTTTCTCGTAGGTAGAGTTCTGCAGCTTTTGGGTTTTGATCTTCTTACTCATAAACTCAATGGGTCGCAGACCATTCCCATCATCCTACTGAAGAACTGCCCCAATGCCATACTGACTAGCGTCAGCGGTCAGGATGAATGGCAAAATGGGGTCAGGTAACTTCAGCACCGGTGCACGAGTCAAAGCCTTCTTGATTCCTGTGAAGGCCAACTGATAGGGAGGGGACCAAAGAAAAGGAGTGTCTTTCTTTGTTAGGTTGGTCAGGGGTGCGGCCACTGCAGAAAAATTCCTAACAAACTTTCTGTAGTATGAGGCCAAACCCATGAAGGACCGTACATCCCTCACTGTCTGTGGCTGAGGCCAATCTTGAATAGCCGCAACCTTGTCGGCTTCAGGGGCCAGACCATCTCCAGAGGTTACATGACCTAGGTAGATGACAGAGGGAACTCCAAAGGAGGATTTTTCTTTGTTAATCTTGTACTGGCTGTCACGTAATGCCTGAAGAACCAGAGTTAGGTGCTCCGCATGTTCCTTGGCAGTTCGGCTGAATACCAAAATATCATCTAAGTAGACAACCATGAACTTGTCCAGGTAAGGCCTGAAGATGCGGTGCATCTCAGTCTGGAAAGTGTCTGGGCATTGCAAAGTCCAAATGGCATTACCAAGTATTCATAAGTGCCATACCTGGTTTTGAAGGTTGTCTTATGGACATCCTCCTCTGCCATCTCAATCTGGTGATAGCCAGATTTAAGGTCGACTTTGCTGAATAGTGTGCAGCCCTGCACCACATCCAGAAGGTCATCAATACGAGGGAGAGACTCTGTACTCTTCCTCGTGATTTTGTTGAGACCCCTGTAGTCTATGCACATCCTGAATTCCACATTCCCTTTGGGAACAAAGAGGACAGGGGCCCCAAACTCAGATGCGCTAGGTCTGATCCATCCTTTGCTGGTCAGGGTCTCAAGCCGGTTTCTAAGCTCCTCAAGCTCAGCAGGGGATATCCTGTAGATGCGGCCCTTTGGAGGGTCCGCTCCAGGTAACAGCTCGATGTGATGCTTGGTTGGCCGGTGGGGTAACCCAACAGACTCCTGCATCAGATCGGCATACTTGTCCACCACCTGCTCGACTTCAGGAGGACAGGGAACAGTGGTAGCGTCTGTTTGCTTGACAAGGGCCAAGAACAGACGCTCATGGTCATACTGGCGGGAGAGTGTATAGAACTCCCTTGCTCGTAAACAGTAGCAAGAGGTCTTGCGGTGGTGTTCAACAGCAATCATGCATGGTTGATACACCCCCTGCATATTTGGAAGTTCAACCTTAGGAATCTGCCAGTCAATCCTAGGGCTGACTGCCCGTAGCCACTGCATAGAAAACACCAAATCAAAGGGGAGATCAAGGAAAATATAGCAGTTCTAACTTCTCCAGCTGTATCGAAGGCCACAGGGATGCCCCTGACCTTCTCCCTGATAGTGAGGACAGTGGAGTCCCCTATCCGGACCTGTAGCGGATGCTGCAGTGTCTCTACTTTTAGACCCAGATGCAGTTTCTTAACTGCATTTGGTGACATAAAAGTTTCGGGTGGCTCCACAATCCAACAAACCCTTGATTCTGGTGTGGTTGATCAAGGGCTGAAGTAGGATGAGTTCATATTTGGTTTTCCGCTGTTCCTTCATATCGAGGAAGAGGGAAACAAGCATCTGGGCCTCATGCTCCTCCAGTTCCTGACCCGGGTCAGGATCCTGATAACAGAAGGATACTGCCCGCACAGCTCCAACACAAGGCCTATCTACTGGAGCAGCTGCAGATTCATCTTCTTCAGAAGATGAGTTTCCAGCACTAGGGGGAGTTGCTGCCCCTAGTGTTTGCTTCAGTTTTTTGGCTGTGACCCAGGGCCTGGCATGTAAGGGCAGTCCTTCAGGTAGTGTTGTCCCTCACATCGCAGGCAGACCCCCCTATCCTTCCTCCTTCTCCACACCCCTTCCTGGATCCTGAGATCATGCCAAGGAAGGGTGGAAGGGCTCAGAGGGTCAGCTGGCATACAGACGTCCCTGGGCAGGTTAGGTCTCTGGGCAGGGGTAAAAGGACGACGTCCCTTGTCCTTCCCCTTGCTGCTGGTTGAGGCTGTGCTGGAGGGGTTTTTCTTTTGGAAAATCGCCAGTACAGCCTCAGTCAGGGCCTTAACAACTTCTCTATCAGCAGTCAGTCCCAGCCGGTGGTGAAACAGCTTGGCAATCTGAGTCACTTGCTGATCGAGACCCTGCATGAGCAAAAGCAGCCTTTCCCCTTTTTCCACCACGAGGGAAGGCTCTCTTCCTCCTATCAGAGAAAAGGGTCTGGACATGGAGTGTTGGCTCCATATCCAGCGCTGCGCGGCCAAAGGATCTCCAGTCCTTGTGCCCAGAGTTGTACAATGCTGCAACGAACTTCTCAGGCGCTGCCCTGCAAAAGTTAGTCAGCAGATCATCCGTAGACATGACTAACCCTGGGGCGGAGGTGAGTTGCTCGAACTCTGCAAACAAGGAGTGAAGAGACCCTATACACCGCTGCTGTCCCGGGCGAGCAATACTGTCAGCAGCCTTCCTGGCTCGCTCCTTGTCTGCAAATCTGTCCTCCAGGGCCTGCAAAAGCCCATCCACTCCCAACCCAAAAGCCCAGTCTTCCAGCCTCTTGCCCTGGCTGCTGGAGGTGGAGGTGGCCCACTTCAAAGAGGGGCCCTCCAACAGACCTAGGACAGTAGAGACCTTTGTCTCTTCAGGACAGGCGAAGCCTCTCAGGTAGGCTCTTGCACCAGCGGCCCAGTCTCCAACATCCACTCTGGGGTCATCTCCTTTGAGCTTGTTGGGGGCTGGGATCTTGGGAAAGATCCGCTGATCACCTGTTGGAGGGACAATGGTCCCCTGGGACTGATGCTTTTAAGGGAGGAGATGGTGGAGGGGAAGAATGTCTAGAACTGGTAGGGTGAGAAGGAGGAGGAGAAGGTTTGAGAGGTTTGGAAGACAGAGGGGAGGAAACAGCAATATCAGCAGTTGTCAACTGAGCAACCAAAGATTCTATTGCAGTTAGGATCTTTGTTTGCTGAGCTGCCAGGTCATCAACACGGCGTTCCAGTCGTGCCATCCGGTCATCCCAGTTAGTGAAATAAGTAGTTGTGGCTTTGTGGTCCAGTCGGATCGACTCTGCCATATACTTACTCGCTTCTGAGGACCGACCATCTGCCTCTAACCTGGCCAGTTGCTCCAACAGATACGTCCTGCGGGACGCATCTGTTGCAGCTTCCATCTCAGTTGCCTCTTGCCTTTCCAACTCTGCTAGCAGGTTCTACTGCTGCTGCAACTTCTCCTTCATCTCTTGAACACGCTGTTGGGTTGCAGTCAAAGGAGGAGGGGGACTAGAGGATTGTGATTCCTCTTTCACCACCTATCCCTGTGGCTTCGACTCTGCACCTTGCTCATACATTTTTCTCCCTTCAAACAATAAGTTAGTTGAACAACAAACACAGAGTATGCAGCGATTCTCAAACTTCCTACAGACACCCTGAGAACACTGCTATCTCTGACACAGTAATAGGTGGGTGAGTAGGCCACAGACGATTTGGGTTAGAAGCCTTTTCTGGCCGCCAGGTGTCAGACAGACATACAGTCCAACAAAATCAAACTCACGATTTCCTTTTGACTGACCCTGGACCACACTCGAATTAGTACTGTCAATTCCAGCCTTTTCACAGAGGTCACTAAAGTTCCGGTGGCCACTAGAAAACAAAAGCAATTAGTAGGCGAGATGCAAAAGGCAAGTACAGACAAGCAAAGATCAACAGGAGTTAGCGATTTAGTCAGCAGACATCTCCCCAGACTCAGACTCAAATTTCGCCACTGATGACTCTGGCGACCATACCCAAAGGTATGGCGGATTACAGTTTTCACTGTATCTACTGGATTACTGCTAATCTAGGCAAGCGCTCTTGCCCAGATGATAACAAGAGAATTGCGCTTCACTAGAGACAGACAAAATTGAATTTTGGCGGACAAAATTGTAACTATCACTGACCCTAGGTATCACAAGCTATATATAGACTCAGCACAGAATTACAATTCACAGTATCACTACTTTTCCAGGACAGAATTCACAATCTGAGCATACAGTATCTAGCGCAATATTGTCAAGCAGTCACAAAACGATTTCGAGCCAGAAAGAGTCAGCAGATGGAGAGACATGAGAAACAGAAGATGGGGAAGAAGATGGCTATGGTTGTCATGTTGTCAGGCAAACCTATTTTTAGACCTAGACCAACCAGATAGACCATCAATTTAGACTATACTGACACTAAATCATTCGTTATACTGAGTATTGCGTGGAACATACTCACTTCAGAGAGTTCTTGTAGATGAGGATGAAGCTCTGGCTATGGCAGACAGTATACCCCTTCTCGCCACTTTCCTCCAGAGACTGCTCCTCCAATCTCGACGCTCAGAAACTCACCAAACTTGTTGAACTTGCAGAAGACACTGAGGCGCTTTAATCATTTGTACTAGATTCACTGAATCTAGTCCGGTGGCACTCTGACAGTCAAGAGAAGATACTTCGTCACTTTCTCCCTGATCCGCTGACACTGGAAATGGCTCCAGATGGGGTCAACACAGTGTAGGGTTGACTCTGTCAGTCAATCCTAGTCAGCGCTACCCTGTGATGAAGTTGCCACTCAGTTCCTCAGGGTCCTCAGGGGTATTTCGCCACTCAAAGCCAAATCGCGATGCTGGCTCTTGTACAAATACTGGCGAGATAACCCTGTATTGGCCACACCAAGTCAGGCGCTCTGGCAGGATCTTGCGCCTGATCAATCCAATCACTGATCCCTTGAATTCACCGTCTGTATCTCTTCTTCTCGCCTGCTTCAGTACTGAAGAAGAAGAACCGCCATGGATATCTCTCCAGAAGATCACCAGAAGAAGAAGGTGCCCCAATCGCACTCAACCCTCAGAATGTCAGATCCTATCCCGCTTCGATACCAACTGTTATGAACTTGGTTGTCTGTCGATTTTCATCGACACGCACACGCAAACAATCTCACGCACGCCCATACATGCATAAGAAGAAGGGGAGAGGAGACAGAGTACACACTACACACAGACAGAGTAAGCAACAGGAAAACACTATGCACAGGTGTGGAGATAACACGAAGTGTTTCTCACTCTCTGACAATACTCTCGACAACCAATCACAAGTAGACACCTGCGAGGATAACAAAGGAACAATCCGAGATTGAGCCGATCTGAACCAATATCGTCACAAAGTTTGTCTCAGTGTCTCGCCACTCACAGAATCACACACTCCAGTCCCTAGACTACACCCAGTTAGTAACGCCACACAACCACAGCCTCCCAAAGGCCTGCGCTAACAGAATCACACACTCCAGTCCCTAGACTACACCCAGTTAGTAACGCCACAAAACCACAGCCTCCCAGAGGCCTGCGCTTACCATCCAGATGAAGAACAGGAACTGCGATGTAACCCTCCGTGCCAATGAGCAACTCTTACAAAGAAAGTTGCAGCTATGGCTGCAGCACCACTGTAGATGCCACGCACAATCCCAAAGGGAGATGCAGCAACAGTGGCCCACCCACGAATATCATGTAGAGCCTCAAAATAGCCCAGCCGATCGCAAGCACCCCCGAGGGTGGACGCTCAGAGGACGCCCCAGTTATGGCGAGCTCCAGAAGGCTGGCTATGGCTACCGTCCACGACGAAGGTCTTAGGATGCTGCCTGTAGGCAATCGTCTCTACTGTACTTCCTTGGCTCAGAACGTTGTCACCCGAAAAATGAAGACAGCCAAAAGTCCTAACCCTAGCGACCTAGATCTATTAATAGACTAACCTAGACCTAGACACGGACTGGACCGACCGGTACCATTTCAGTTTGGGCCTCTCGGGCCTCTACCTACCCGGCTATAGACTCTCATGTTACGGGCCTAGGCCCTAGGGCCTCTCGTCCTAGTGATAGCCCGGGCCTGCTATTCGCAGTGCGGTCTAAGGGAACTGTGGGCCTGTAATTTTCCCAAAATTGCAGATATGTCCCTCACGAATTTCCCTCAGCACTGAACTCTCGGTTAGTCCCTAACACAAACAAAATTACGAATCTAACCTTACCGCTGCTACTGTATAGCCTCGCAGTCAGATCTCGGCAGTCAAAATCAGCAAGTCATTGCATTTCCCCGCTTGAAATCTAAGACGCACCAGGTAATGCGGTAGCCAAGCGGGGGAGGCCCACCGTTGATAAATCGAATCGGCAGCCCGTTTTTCGTTTCGGGCCTCCAACACTGCCCGTGGCCGACGTATGGGAAATCAAAACGGCGTGGGTCCACTTTTCTCGAATAGAAGAGTGCTTCGAGTAGAAGGCGTATGCATTATATTCGAATACAACACGTGTCTTTTCTATTTGAATTTCGAAAGAAAAGAAAAAAAAAACGCTTGTATTCAAATAGAAGTTGTAGAACATTACCTTTTCTTTTCTTTTTGAGGTCAGCACCTGCCCTTGTGCTCCCCGCCACTGACATCCTACATGTTGTGGGGCTCTCTCTCTCTCTCTCTCTCTCTCTCTCTCTCTCTCTCTCTCTCTCTCTCTCTCTCTCTCACACACACACACACACACACACACACACAC